TTTTAAAATATATCTGTCTATAGATTAAACTGAAATAAATTTCAAAAAGATTGCTGGCTACTGATGGTCTTTCCAAGATCTGTATTTCACTCTTGCAGCTGGTGTAAGTCCAAGGAGCTCATCCCCAGCTATTGCTTTTTCTCTCACCTTTGTACAAATCGAAGGTTGACATCTGTCAAGACATGTTTAATTCATGTATTTACCAAATGCAGTTCTTTCATCTGCCTACATTTTATGCCCAGGAAATGCGCTAATTTCATTCCAGGTCATTCTGGACCTGCTTCGTGGAGTTACCCCTTTATTTCTCTGGTATTTATTAACTAACCCAAGTGCAAAAATGGAGACAAGAAATCATCCCTTTTGGTTTTTTCCTTTGCTGCTGTTTACATGGGGAGGAGCCAGACCTAACCCAGGAGGTATTCTGCACATTGCAATTCATCAACAGGGACCAAAGCTGCTCAGCATCTCGCAGAGCCAGGCTCCCCACCCCAGGCACAGAGCTCTGCCAGGGCTGCCCAAGCCAAAGCACCGGCTGTCACCAAAGGGAGTTGCAGCAAGGATTGTTTTCTTTGGCACACGTTACACAGATCGAGCATCTTTTTTTTTTTTTTAATTGCATTTTTTATTAGACAAACACAGTTTTAATACAGAATTTTAAACTCCACGTGTACACAGCCTAGGATGCAACGTGCTCCCTCCCCCACTGAGTTACGAAACACCAACGCTGTGAAGGTGAACACCAGCTCTGCGTTTGCAGCCGCACAGGAATGTTACCAACTGGGGAGTGGAAGCTCTGCATGCAGTTAGGTCTCTGCAGGACAGGACGAAGCACGTTAGGAGGAGGTAAAGAGCAGGAAGAAGGGAGTAAGCCGGATCTGCCCTGGCTGAAGGACTGCTCTCAAGAAGCTGCTCCTCCCAAATTCTTTAGGGAGCAAGAGGGTGAAGGACAGGCCACGATGCAGGTGGAGTCCCGCGGAGAGCGGCGCTGCGTGGTGTCACCCGTGGCCCCTGTGAGAACCGCTGCTCAGGCTGCTGTCGACAAGCCGTGGGCTGTTCTGCACCGTGTCTTCCGCTGCCGCCCTCTCTGCGGGGTGAACATGCAGGGCTCCCTCCTCTTCCCACTGCTCACACCCAGATCGAATGAAATCAGTGGACAAGTCACTGAAGACTCTTTGGATTTGGCACGTTCCTGCTGCTGACCCCACTCTTGCACTCCTGTGAATCGCCACTGCCTAAAACCTCAGGGTCCTAATTCTGAACCATGGTATTCCCAGAACTGGACTCCCTAGCAAATGACAGGGGGACAGGGCTGGGAGGGACAACCAAGAAATCCCCTGAGAGCTTGGCAGCTCCTCTGCATTTCAGTGATAGCACTGAGGCTGCTAAACACTTGAACCAGATATTTATTTTAAAGCGTAAACATGGATCTAGAGGCTTTACTCCATGTCCACTTCCCTGGGAAGGTTTGATTCTAGACAGTCAACAAAAACAACAACAACAAAAAAAAAACCCACAAAAAAAAGAGAAAGCCACACTAAGAAAAATCAGGAGTTCAGAAGACTCGTCAAAAACTGTTTGGACCTTACAAAGCATGTGTCCTTTCACTCAGGCCTCAAAATCAACTGACCGCATTATTACAAAAATAGCAATATAGAAACTACCCCTTTCTCCGTTCCAAGCTGAAGCACATCTAAGAAGCAGCAGTCCTCTTTCTGGCAAGGCACTATCCAGTAGTGTGTGGCACAAACCAAACCACCTCTGTCAGAGCCACTGATGCAGTGAATGTGCGCATCAGCCCGCACAGCAACTTTCGGTACAAAGATTGACGGTTTACTTCACACTACTCTCCCTTTTTAAAAGTAGGGTAATTACAAGTATTAGCTAAAAATTGGGATCATTTGGTTCTCAAGCACACCTTTATATGCAAGTATTTTAAACAAAATTCAGAATTTGCTACTTCTTTCAATACATGGCTCTCGTTTCCACAGACCTTTTCAGTCACCTGATAGCTGCATTTCATATTACAAAACTGGTTTAAAAAATTCCAGATCATCTTGTGTAACAAACTAGACGTCTAATTACAAAAATAAGGCTGTCGCACAACAGACCCAATTTAACATTTGAGCAACATATATCCTTTTTTTTCTTTTTTTTAAACTAGTCACTTACACTTCAAAATCACCTATCCTAAGGGACTTACGTTGCCAATCCACGCAAGCAAGCAGGATATCTTTGGAGCTTTTGTCCTCCACACGGCTGGTGATGCCCACATGCATAGTCTGAAATCAGCTGGGTTTACCTACCAGCTGTAATGGGGCCAGCTCACCGCTGAACGGGAGGCTTCGATTCTACAGTTATCAAAATTCAAGAGGAGGTTTGTGAAAATATTTTCAACCCTGGGGAAATGAGCGTGGTGCTGCCTTTCACATCAGTAAGCCTGGGATTTTGCCCAGATTTACTCATGTGTATATACTTACACACTTACTAAGTTTGTTGAAACTGGGACTTCAGGCAGTTCTCAAAGTATCAAGTACATGATAAATCCAGGATGGCTTCTCAGTAATCAACTGTGTAATTATGTATTTTATATCTGTATTCATTTACAAAGTTAAATATTTTAATTTTTTTTTTTTTTAGGAATAGTTATATTGAACTTGGTGAAGTTAACATACAGCTCCACCTCATGTCACATTCCCTTCCTACAGTGAGGTTCAAGTCTCATGAAAATATTGGATTGGTGACGAGAATGTCACAATAACTTACCACAGACAACATAATTCTTAAAAATGCACGTACATACATGTATATACATACATGTATACGCATGTTATCAACTCCCATTTAGGATTCCTCTAGAGAAGGTGCTGTAGCTGAGATTTTGACCAGTAAATACAACCACAGACTTGAAATCTGTGCCCTCTTGCCCTGTCTAGCCCTTTAACCAAGCTAAGGAGGCATCAGAGGATCCACAGAGAAACTGATTTATGGATGGACTCCTTTAACATCTCCTTTTTTAAAGCTTTCTTGCCTTTGTGCTGGAGGGAAAAGCCACACAGCTGTAAGCAGTTTGTAGCTGAGACAACATAAAGAGGAAGGTAACCTGTTCTTTACTCCAGCAACTGGCAGTCATTGACATTGTTCATGTCATACCTCTGTAGTCCTGAGTAAACCATTGTCCCAAATCTGAAACACTACAGCTCTGGTGTTTAGCATCTTCCGCAGGACTCGGATGATGACCTCGCATGCACCCTCAGCAGATCTGTGGATGACACCTGGCCCTGGTTCAGTGGTCATTATTATACCCCTCCTACTCAGCACCGGTGAGGCCACATCTGAAATATTGTTTTGGGACCTCCTCCCAGTTCAAGAGGGATGTGAACTAACTGGAAAGAATAGTCCCCCACCACAACAAAGCAGCCAGAGCCCTAAAGCACACAGCCTGTGAAGAGAGGATGAGGAAGCCAGGTTTGTTTAGTCAGGTAAGAAGGTGGCTAAGGGGTGATCTAACGGTAACATACAATTATCTTGAGGGCAGTTACAAAATGATGGTGCCAATCTCTTCCCGTGAGTGCCAGAAAACAGCAAAAGCAACAACCACAAATTACAGCCTGGGAGTTGAGCCTGGACATGAAAGTTTTCACTAGGAGAGTACTGCAGCACTGGCACAGGTTACCTAGAGGGTGATGAGACCTGCATCTTTAGATATTTTTAACTCTCTGCTGGACAAATCCATATCTGTTCTGAGCTAGTGTTTGTGTTAGCCCTGATTTTGCCAGTGCTGGACCACACGACCTCCAGTTGTCCCTTCCAACTAACACCAGATGCCATGGTTACTGATCTTAACAGAACACGTGATTTGTTGTGCAGACAGCATTGCTTTCTGACACTTTTTACAAGTTTGGCTTCCTTCAAGCCACACAGTCTGCGACTACAAAGAAGGTTTCCCACATAACGGTTGTACTTCATTTACCCCAAGGCGTAAGGACATTTATTGGAATGTTATTATGAAACCACCTGAGTAAAAGCTACATCACACCATAGCTGTTATTTTCATAGCCAGACTTGATCCAAAATGCATAATGCAATCTGACTTCTGTCTAGAATGCATTTTGTAGAGGTTATTGGCAAGTCATGGGCCTCAGTTCTACTATGTGCATCGGTGCAGTTCTGCTGGAACAACCTCCACCTCCTTTACTTGGCTCCTGTTCCTCAGCTGAGCTGACCATTGTGGCCTCATCCAGCAAAGCACACGCTCAGCTTTCTCACTGTCTTTTAGGCACCTCCATGTTTCCACACCTGGAGATACAACCAGGACAACAGCTGGGCAAGTTAGATGTGCTCTTGGACCACAGTAGAGGGTTTAACCACCCATGGGACTGAGCCCTGGCTCTCAAAGTATGCCCCTGATTCTCACGTAGCTAATGATAGAGCTGTGTGTTACTGAAGGTAAACTCAAGATTTTGGCAAAATTTCATTTTAAGACAGTCCAACTATAGAGCTCAAACTTTGGGTGTTAAGTCTTTCTCAGTTAACAGAGAACTTAATATTATCATTAGCTACAAGACTTCTTCCTCTGAACTACCCAGTATTTCCTACCAAGCATTTTTCTGCACATTTTGCTGCATTTGGAAAAGGAACCATGTCAAAATATCTAACTTTGGCACCTCCTCCATGGTAACAATTGTTTTTTAACAGTCTGTTGCAATGTGCACCATGAGACAAATCATGTTTCCATGAACAAGGTGAGCAGCCCATGTCTCTTACAATAAACATGACCTAGCATAAACATCACAATAAATAAATGTAGAGCAAAAATACGGCAGTTATTGGCTTAGACTGAGATCTTAAGATTGATGACTTTTACCTTCTGGATCATAGCCAGCACAAACATTCCAATAACCTGCAGCATTTTAACTCTAACGATGAGCTAATTTCAGATACAGTAGTTGGAAGAATTAAAAAAGGTAAGGAATCTGACTCCGTAAGTGTATCCATGAACAACAGCAGCCCTGTACTTCCACTCCTAATTCTTAAACATACATGTCTGTTAGAATATCAGTGCCAGTTGCAAAAGCTATCCAAAGACAAAAGTGAAACATCAACGATGAGTATTTTTAAAAGGGAAGATGAGTAGCCCGGCCTTAATCCTGTTTCATATATGTGTTATTAACTCCACACTACTGGAGAGCACCGTCTCATGGCAAGCAGACCACGACTAATGATGCGTGTTTGGTGTATCACAGTGATCCATTAGGGAAGCTGTGGTGTGCTAGAAGAATTGGGTCATTCATCCAGGCAATGGGCTTGTCAATACTTCAGATAGGCTTTCTAGGGTTCTGACTCCTATTTAAAAAAAAAAAAAAAAAAAAAAAAAAAAAGAGAGAGAGAGAAAATATTATTAATTCTATGAATAAATTTTCATCTCTCGTGCCTGTGAACTTTGCATATAAGGTACCCCTAACCCTGGTCCCCACAGCAGCTGATCTACTGCCCACAAGTGCACCAGTCTCTTTGGGGCTTCTATATGGCAATAAAATCATCTCTATTATACTGCCCTCAACAGAAAGATGTTATCTTTGTGTTCTGACCTGTATATATGTATTCGTTAAAACTTAATTCTTATCCAAAAGGTTTCTGTAATTTCTGACTGCTCCAGCATTTCTGCATTTAAAAAAAAATAAATAAATTAATGCCCAGTGAATAAATGCTGTCCTGGTTGAGCCACTATGCCAGGCCGTCCCAGTAAGATGATGTTTTGGTGACATAAGCTGCAGATATTCCAGTGATTAAGATCTCTATAATTAAGTCAGTTGCTTTCAATTTACATGTGATAATGTGAAGGAGAATGTATTCTTTAAATTTCATTTACCTGCTATCTCCAATTAACTCACACGTATATGCTTGGTTTCATTTAAGATGCTTTCCTTCTCATGGCAACAGCTTCAACTATGCAATTAGCATGAAGCTGATATGGACAAGGTTTGGATAAAGGCAACGGTGCATCCGAACACACAGAGTTCTTTCAATTCAAAGAAAATTCAATGTCAATATTTCAAGAATTCCATAAAAAGTTTGCAATACTACACTGACCTTTGATGCCAAAGTAGGTTTCAGTCCAAGAAAGGAGAAGACAGTGTTGCTCTCCTTTGATTCAAAAAAACCATCATAATCCTAGACAGGGAAAAAAAAAAAAGAAAAGATGAGTTAACATTTGTATTCATGTTTTCCTGATTGATCTTACCACACCATATATTAGACTAAAGGGTGACAAGTAATAATGGTCAGGAAAATACTAACACTCATCTGCATTCTCCTACATAAACTAGTTATTCTAAAAGCTATTCTAAACCGTAATGATATAATCAACTACTATGGCAAAGAAAACTGCATACATTCTCTAACTAAAACACTTTCACTACTTTATTTGACAGGCAAATACAAACATGGACTTGCATTCAAAGAAAATCTACTGAGAGTATATTTTAAAGGCATTTAAGTGCCTAACAATGCAAATAACTTTCTGACTGGGTTTTCAATTTGCAGTTTAGCAAACAAAACACTTCCTAACATGGAAAGCTCCAAGAAGGCAGCCCAAGGCAGCTGAACTCCTTGTTTCTTCTGCGGTGGGACAGAGATTGCATCATCGTTGTATCCTTTGAAATCACCAATCTCAGCCCTGGGCAACCACATAAAATATAAGATGTTACCACTAAGAAACTGGTTGTATAGAAAGATAAAAAATAAGCTTCATTATCACGATCAAGTTCATTTTAGGTTTCAGCTGCTTAAGATCACGTTCTGATCTCAAAGTGTTACTAATGCTTTTCCCGCTTTGTTCATTGCATCGGACACCTGCTACTCTTCTATCATCAGGTGAGCTGACAACATCCAGTTTCCACGGGAAAATGAGAAAAACAGAGCACAGCTTAGTGAATGGGTTTGGCATATGGCAAGAAGCCAGAAGGTTTCAGGTTCTCTTAGTGGTTTGGCAAAGATTTCCTCTGTGACCACTAGCACCCAGTTCAGACTCTTTTCCTCCTCCACATAACTGCAAAATGGAAAGATCAATCCTTCTAATATAATCAAAACCACTTCTGACATGTAAAGTACTCTGTAAACGTCAGGAAATTTCAGGTATGTGCTCATCACTACATAGAAATTATCTCTAAATATCTAAGATTAGTAGTTAGCTTAACTTGAAGCATTCAACAGGAGAAGTACCTTTAAATATTGACTGTGCACATCAACACCGAACAGTAACAGGCAGTGTCTGTGCCTCCCCATGCTTCCCATCTAGGTAACAGTCATTCCCAATGCACCTGACTCCCAAAGTCAGCACTTCTTTGGCTACTAATCCCTAATCTCATTACTTTTTGAGAGCTCATCTCTAATTCTTATGGTTTCAGGTGTTTTCCCCTGAAATTTGACCTCAATTTTTCCCCATCTGCAGATTTGCCCACTTGTTTCCTTCCACTCCTGCCTTCTCTTGAGCCTGTAGCCCCACAAACCACCCCACCATCACAGGGGACCGTGTAAAATACACAGAAGCAGCTCTAACTGAAAAGCAGAAATCTTTCTTTGACCTGGCTATTCTCAGAAGGCCATCAAAGGACACACAAAGATTAGGAAATTTCCTTTACCTTCCAACCAGTTTACTCATGCCTAGCCAATATCCACTTCTGCTTACATTTTGGCTTCTCAGATCCTAAGCAGGAAGCAAAAATGGTCTGGGCAAGCACTCTGCTCCCCAGTGTTTCTCTGGGTCTTCACAACGCAGTGTGAACCCCTGAATAGCCCTTCATCCCACCTGCCAGACCCTACTATAATATCCATTAAATTATATCCTTGCAGAAGGATGGTTGGTATTTTGTGAAATGACTTTGTAAGGAAAGTGTGTGCTTGTAGATGAAGATTTTCTTCTCTTTGTTCTCTTTTTTTTTTTTTTTTTTTGTCTCCACCAATGTAAAATAAAAGATTGTTTGGACAGAAAATACATAGTCACCATAGCACGGATAATATACCTCCCATGAGATCGACAATCATCCTGCAGATGTGCAGAATTCCTCTTAAAACCTTTATGGTGCACTAGACAAAGACGCTTTACTACAATTTCCACAATGATGTACTGCTATACCAATGTGAGCACAGCTCTCCTAGCCAAGTGACACTTTGCAGTTCCATAGTCATTCAAACACCCCCTGCCCAGAAAAAAACACAGCTGCACAGAGAGTTTCCCATCCTAACCCTCTGCACTAGAAGCATCACCCTGAAAGACACAGAGAGGCCAGCAGGAGTGTACCATGATCATATTAGCTGACATAAGTAGAAAGAGTAAACCTTCTTAAGATGGTTTTTTGTCATTATCTTCTTCAAACATGGCACATTGCTGTGCTATAGACTAGGGCAGTAAATCAGTATTCTGGGACCTAGAGAGAAAGTGCACGCTTTTCTTCTATCTGGTTTTCCGGTCAATGGTTTTCACTATGTGTGATACGTAATTTCCAATGAATAAAAGCTACTCACTTCATTCTATGGGAAGAACCAAGTTTATTTGCTTTCACTGCCAGGGGGAGGAAACACTACAAGGAATACAGCAGTTGTGGAGGGAGGGAAGGAAGAATCTCCTGCAGTGATCAGCATCAAAGACTGGAAAACAGACTTTGCAGACAGATGTTGCTCATCATTATGAGCACAGAACTACTGCCATTACTGTTTAAAATGCTGACATATGACAATATTAGACACAGTTTTAAGTTCCCTCACTGTTAATTTTAGGTATGATCTATTCTACCTAACTTTGAAATTAAACATATATTAAACAGAGGAAATAGACACTTCTACATCAATTTAAAAAAAAAATCATTAAAGGTGACGAACTGATGCTGATTTCTGAAATAACATGAATTTACAATTAACAGCCAGATGATAAATCCAAATAGTATAGACACATCTCAGAACTAAACCATGGTACAAGCTGAAACAGTACTGAAACCAACCCCAACAATGCCATGGATTAAAAAGGGACAAGGTAATAACTGAATACCTAGAGGAATAATAAGTAATACTGAAGGTCTGCAGAAGGATGTTCGATTAAGCCCTTGACCTCTACCAATAAGACTTGAAAAACTGCATGGACACTGTTCAACCTGAAAAGGTCCAGCCTGATTTTGCTAAAGCACATGAATAGAGGACAGCTATTGCAAGCATTTCTGCAGCAGCATGGCTCAAGACAGAGATCATTTTCACTCCCCACTAGAACACCCTTTCCTCCTAAGCACACAGGCAGTTTCCATGAACCCCCAGACACCCGGTTGTCTCAACAGTTTGTCAGAGGCAGGCTCTCTGTGTTTGTTCAGGTGAGTCATCATCTCTCATTCCCATTTTCAAGTTCTGGGGTTCTCCTGAACTGTCTTAATCCCAGTATTTCAATTAGCTCCAAAACCATCACAACTCTAAGACCATGGGGTTTTTCACTCTTTGTTAACAAATAAATAAATTGGAAAGAAAAACAAGAGCAGGGAAGGATTCACAGCACAAAACCCGGTGGATCAATTCATTTTAAAGGGAGCAGAATATTTAATAACCCCAAGAGATTATCCACCAGAAGCAATCTCCCCAATGTTTTGAAATATCTGCATTGCAAAACATACTAAAACGCTATTGACACTTTCTTACTTTCATAGGGGGTGGGGGGAAGAAGTATCATGCTTTTAGATAAAGTAGTAGTAAAATTTTCAATAGGTGAATTTTCCTACTCATCTCTGCAATGAAAACATACGATCCCAAAATATTCGAATGTGAAAAAAGTTATAAAAATGCATAATAGTTCTATAAAAGTTGAACAAAATCACTTTAGCACTGTAGTTTCTTAAGAGATTTTTTGAGAACCATGATCTCAAGGACCACAACCTCAAGGACTCATCAGTTGTGCTTTGGCACGCAGTTGGAGTTCTGAGTGGACATCCCTGGCTTACCCTGTAACACGGGAGAGATAACAGATGTTCCAAAAACATTCTGTCTTCGACCTTACCGTTATAAGGAAAAAAAGTCTGTACATGTTTAGGACACATGTAAAGACACTAAATCCATGGTTGATGACATGAACATTCTCGTCTCACATCAAGAACATCCCACTGTTACCAGTAGATCCAGAGGCTGAAGAAGGAAAACGGTGCCAAGCTCAGTGGAAGCTGAGAGCTTAGCACACAGGCAAGAGCCCAACTGGCTTGCGAGCGAAGGGGTTCCACCTGGAGAAACTCTGTGGGACACGGCCTCCCACAGAGGAAGGACACCACCATCTGCCGGCTATGGCAAGGCAGTAGTCCCCTGTTCCTGCACCAGGCTTCACCACTGGTAGCAAGCTACTACAATCCCCTTGTCACCGTCCCAAGCAGCTCTCCCAAGCCAGCGGGTGCTGCGGCTTTGCTGGGACCAGCTGATCAGTGCTGCCTTGCCCCTGTGCAAAGAAGTGGCTCCCACTGCTGCCCTGGAGGGGTTCAGAAAGCAGCTGGTAATCTAAAAATATATGAGCGTGGCAAACTGCCACCCACTGCCCCACTTCAAAAGGCAACTATGCGCACAAATAGAATTTTGAGCATACCACTTTAAATTATGGTCCTTGGTGCTTCCCAGAGCTCCTAATGACACATTATTAACGTGTAAAATTCTGGCAACATCAGTAGCTGATTAAGGCTGCTAAAGCTAAGGGTACATAGAGACAGTGGACATGAATCAGCAGTGACAGAAAGATGCTCGAGGCCTCTGGAAAAGTTGAAAAGCCAAAAATACAGGTGATAAATCACAAAGCACAAAGATGAGGGCAGGAAAGGTTACCACGAATGACAAATGCCAGTTAGGAGAAAAACCATCTCAGCATGGTTTGAGGGGATAGAGAAGTGACAGGAGTACAAATAAGGTAAGTAAAAAGCTATTTCAAGATAGAAAAGGCTTCTTAACAGGATAGCAGCCATCTGACTGTCTCAGGCCTGGCTCCTCACCCTTAAAGTCAATGGCAGCTTGATCACCCACCACGTAGGCTGAGCAAGAAACAGCCCCTCTGTTTTACCCCCAGAACACTTAGAGCATTAAAGATGCTCTAAGAGCTACCGAGGAATGGATTAGCTGCCCTAATAAACTCTTGCTTTGTTGAAAATAAACAAAGCTAACTGTAG